CTCTGTCATGAACCATAGGCAGGAGAGTCAATCTTATCTGCTTCAGAAAGGCTCTGACCACATGGAACCTGCTAAAGAATCGAGTCCAAGAGGATCATTGCCATGCTGATCAATAACAGAGTTTGCTCAAGCTCCAAGATGCTGCAAGGGATCTGGCATCTAAGAGAATGCATCTTTTGTAACTCAAAGCAACATTTTCTCAAGCATGCCTACACATGTCCAGGCCCTGACCACCCACTCACATCCATAAAGGCTGTTTAACAATAGTCTGTCTATGTATGGTCTCATAGGTCCATGAGAATAGAGAGAGAGAGAGGGAAGAATTGCTCTCATTCTGCCCCATAGCTAAGCCTAAAATGAGCATTTACCACATATCACAGTTTGTCCAGTACTGCAATCTCCAGTAAGGGAGTAAAGCCAATGCAAGCTGGCAGCATAGCTGTTGTTTCCACCTAGCAGTAGCTCTAGGCTTTATTGGCCACTGAGTGATCTTAGAGAGAAAAATCTCCCAATCTTTTTATGCCACTGAGCGCACAGAATAGACAGGAAAGCAGGAATCATCCCTCCTTACCCATCAACAGCTCCTGCAGAGATAAGAGTATGCTCATCTTGAAGCAGTACCACAGTTACACTCTGCTGGAAATCCTTAAAAAGAGAAGAAAAAAGAACTTTATTTTCTTTTAAGGTCAGCAAGATCTTAGTTCAAGGCCATGTGAATGCATGGAAAACCTCCTCCTAGCCAGGCAGCAGAACATAGAAACAGCAGATGTCATTTAGGACACAACAATGCTTTGAACACTCCCACTAGTGAAATTGCCACTGAGAGATAAGTGTTTGGGCAGCAGTTTGAGATTACATCTTTCAGCTCACAGATAAGAGAGCTGCCTTCATCCCAAAGTCTAATAGATTAAAAATGATCAGGCCTTACTCCAATAAGGCCGTGATTTGTCTGGTCAAATTAAGGGAGTAAAAAAAAAAAGACAGAAAAAAAATTTACAACTCTCCATATCTCTCCCCTCAAAAAGGGAATGCTGGCCACTCCTTTCCTCCCTGGGGAGGGAAAAAAAAACCCCATGTATTTTCACATAGCATTTGCCCAAAGTTGGCTTTTATGGCACGTGGGTTGTTAGGCACCTAAACAATGTCTAAAATTAGCCACTGCAAATGACCATGACAAAAAACCCCTATCTCTGCAAAGATAAATGGAAGCATTTACCACATACAAGCCACGTATTTCTCACTATATTTACTCAGGAAGAATTCTGTGAATAACAGTGCCCCCAGAAGTGACATTTTGCTTGTTGCCCAGACACCCACCACCAAGGGAGCAAGTCCTCTCAGGTTCTGCCTCTTCTTCTTTGGTTTGGAAGGAGTCTGCTTGTCAGCCACATTGTGTGCTCCACTGATTTGATTTACCTGCCTGTAAAAGCCATCTGAAAGAAATCAAAGACATCTCAATTAGTAGTTTACATGCAATTTTGCTATCACTTTAATAAAACAGGCATCAGCTTGGGATTAGACCTAAAAGGTGGCTTGGGTTAACCTTTAAAATCATTACTGTCTTCTGAAAACAAAAATTAATTACATACAAAACCAGTGAGAAGAACACACTGCAAAAAACTGCAGAGGTCAGTGTACATGGACAATGAAACTAAAACTTATCTAGGCAGGCTGCCTCTGGAAATCATTACCTCTTGGTCTGTTTTTCACATGCATCCTGGTCTGGAGCGTTCAACCCACCTCATCCTAAGCAGAACTGCCTCACTGGAACATGTCCAGTGCTTTTCCACTCTATTTTGTAATTCCATGTTCAGCCTTTTGTCTGTTAACTTATGAAATGTACTGCCTTACTAGAGTAAGGGAAATTTTCTACTTTTTTTTATTCCTAGTAGGTGTTCCCACAATGTATTCAGTTGCTACCAGCACTCACAAGCTCTTTTTTCCTACACTTTCTGCCTTCCTTCCTACTCTGGCAGGAGCCTTTCCAGCTTTTCCTCACCCCTCTGGATGGCTCTGACCTCTAAGCAATCTCTCCTGTCTCACCTGCTCTTGCACTGCCCTAGCAGGGATGCATTCTGTACAGCCTCACCTCCTGGTCTACACACAGGGAATTATCAAACCAGCCTGTGGTTTGATGTTGCACATCTGGGACTGCTGCAAAGTGGGGAAATGCCATGGTATACATAAATAGCCGAGATACCTATTCCATCCCCTTACTGTACCTAAAGCAGTACAGTTATCTGAGAATCCTCTGCTGCCTACATTGTAATCAGAAGTATCAGTCCAACCAGCCCATCTGAGCAGTAGTCCTTTTACATGAGACACCAAGCTTTTCTGATACATATCTGAAAGTTTATTTACCTTTCTTGTTGCACCTGGTATCCCAAACCATGATGTTTCCATCTCTCCCTCCAGTACAGAAAACAGCTGAGAGAAAAAAAGTGTTATTAGCTTCTAAAAGCATTGATTTAATTAACTGAATGCAGTAGAATGCCATCAGTGTACCTCTGGCTCTCCTGTCCCAACACTTGGGATGCTAGTCCCGGAACTACAAAACTCAGGCCATTGTTTTGCCATGCTTTTGACTTATTCCCTTACTCTTGCTATTCTTTTTTTACTCCCACTAGAGAAACCAGCCTATGGAAAGCATATTCACACACTTGGGTATGGAAGCAGATCTTATCTTTGCCCAAGATCAGAAATGTGCAGATTTTAGCATCAGGACACCATCAAGTTTCAGCTAAACAGTTTTGCTTTCCTGGCTGGGTCACTGCTCAGGCCTGTGCTATTGGTACCTGTCAGCTTCCAAAGCCCTTTTTTAGCCCCTAAAGTACTTTTCCAGGGGTAAAGAAGAAGGAAAAAACAGACAACAGGCAAGATCAATTTACCTTTCTCAAATCTAGAAAAAGCGACTGACTTGAGGCTACACTGGTGACCTTTGCATATGCCAAGAAGCTCGCCAGCTCTCACATCCCACACCTTGGCTGTCTGATCTCCTGAAGCAGTGACCTTCAGAGGGAAAAATAAAAAGCTTAAGTCATTTTCTGTACACAGTTGCCAAAGCATTAAAAAAAAAAGTCAGATGGCAAAAGATTCCTTACAATCCTGTGTTCCCCTGGCACCCAGGCAAGGTCAAATACAGCATTTGAGTGAGCCCGCCATTCTAACAAGAAAACAAAAGCCAAGATTAGTTCAGTGCATTGTAGCATGGTATTTTGCAGAAGATAAATGTCATCACACACTGAAATCAGAAATCTTGTCAACAGTTTGCCTTAGGCATGAAAGACAACACAGAACAATTCATCTACTACTGCTGATTTAAGAGCACATTCATGCTGCTGCTTTGTAAAGAAGACTCAGCAAAGTATGTGGAAGAAATAAAGTACTGCCTACAATTTATGTTTTAAGGACTTGCAAAAAGCTCTCTTCCATTCCAGCAAATCCCACACTTGTCACATCAAATGAAGATCACCTTCTGTACAACATCTACCTTTAAAGATGAGCTTGCTGGTGGTCTGTGCTTCAGTATCATACAGTCTAACAAACCCTTCTTCATTTGCAACTGCCAGGATGTGCTCCAAATTAGGGGCTGAAAAGAAATTGAAATATATTATGTAGCTAATACAAAATCATGCCCATGCTCTTTGTGAAAACCATAGATGCTTTAAATAGGGAATGCAGCAAACATAAGACTGTGAAATTAACAGCATCTACATAGCAACCTAAGTGTTAAAATGCAGAAATACTGGCAAGCATTTTTTCTAGATGCTCCGTTCAGGAATGACTATACATGGGCAATCAAATGGCTCCAGAAGCAACTTTTGAGATAATACCTCTTTCACCAGCTATAACAGTTTTCCAGTTACAGTTTTCTGTATCTAGAGTAACTATCATCTACAGCCTCCAGCATTTTCTGTGATCTGACTTGGAAAAGCAGGAAGCCACCTTAGAGAAATGTAAAATCTCATGCCAAAACTAGAGCAAAACGAATGAAGATGTTTTGGCCTAAAGATCCAGGAGCTTCATTGCTTATTACCCTTCCCCCATCATGGGGAAATGCCGTGTGTACAGCACAGCCTAGTGACACCCATCCGCATTTGATTTCTACCTAATGTTCTCCACCCTATTATAGCTTTTATATATTTTGAACAAAGCCCCAGTTTTTCACCTGTGTAGCCTCACACTGTCACCAAGAGGACACACCTTGAAACATACACAGATGAAACAATGACACTAAAATAAATGCTTTACAGTTGCTTCTTTGAGGGAATACTTTCCATCGGTATCTAGGTGCACCACGATCCAAAGTTTATCACGTGTAGGAGCTAGCTCACTGTAGCAGTAAGCTGACTTTAAAACAACAGACTGCTGACAACAGAGCCCATACCCCGGCCGCACAAAAGGGCTTTCAGGAGGTGACTTTACCTGTAGAAAAGGTGCAGCCGAAAGGAGGGACCGGCATTCCCGTTTCCCCGTAAGACAGGTGATCATCTTCTCGGCTGCACTGGTAGCTCTCCAAGAGATGCTGCAGGGGAAGCGCTGAGGACCGACCTACAACGGGACAGACGGACCGTAAGCGCCTCAGACACCACAGGCTCGGGCGCCACGAGCCGCGAGACGGCCACCGCGGCTGTGCAGGCTGCCGGGGATGGATGGGGACGGAAGGGGGTACGGGAAGGCGCGGTGGCGGTGGCAGGGGCAAGGCGCGGTACTTACGGGCGGGCGCAGCGGCGGCGCGGCGGAGCAGCGCGCGGCACAGCATGGCCACGGGGACACAGCCAGCGCGCACCGCACCAACTCCCGCCAAACCTCCGGCCCGCCAAGCGCGCCAAGCGCCCTCATTGGCCAGCGGCTAGCGCGCCGCGCCGCGCCCGCCTCCTCTGATTGGGCGGTGCTGGGAGGCGGGGCCTCCAGGCCACACCCACCGCGCCGTTCCCGCGGCCGCGCCGGGTGGGCGGGGTCAGGCGCGCGGGTGCGCATGCGCGGGGCCGGCGGCGGCAATGGCGGCCAGCGGCAAGTCCTTCCTGGCGGACGCGGGCTATGGCGAACAGGAGCTGGACGCCAACTCCGCCCTCATGGAGCTGGACAAAGGTGACCCCTGGGCAGCTGGGCCGGGGTGGGGGTTTCGGTCGGTACCGCTTTACCCAGGGCAGGGTGCGGAGGAAGGACGCGGGCTGGAGGTGCCGGCGGTAATTGTGCTGTCTCCGTTAGGCCTCAGGTCTGGCAAGCTCGGGGAGCAGTGCGAAGCCGTCGTTCGTTTTCCGAGGCTCTTCCAGAAATACCCGTTCCCTATTCTCATCAACTCGGCGTTCCTAAAACTGGCCGATGTTTTCAGAGTGGGGTGAGTGCTGCCGGTCGGCTCCTGTCCGTTCGGGTCTGATCCGTGGGAGCACACCGTGCCTTGGAGTGTCCTGCAGTGGAGTCTGGCGCGTCGTGCTCGCCTGCCAACACCCCTGTGGTACCCAGTCTGTTGTGGTCGTGCTTGACTGGAACTTGTTTTCCACTTCTTTAGTGGGCTTGAGTGGCTGTGAGTGGTAACGACACAGTTCCTTTCCTGATTTGAGGATTCTCTCTCTGACTGGTTTGAGTTCACTGGTGTAAGTTTTGCTCTATAAGCGCATCCAAATCGTAACTCCTAAATGGATGGATGATCACATGTGCAAATCGAATCTCTAATGTGAAAAGTGCATATTATATGGCTCTACGCAGATATTTACTATATGTATTTTGATGTATTGATTAGTAGTGCTGTATTAACATTTTAATAATATGATAAATGTAGTCTTGTAGTTAAAAGGTAACTTTTGTAGTTAAAATAAGAACTATGTAAGTGGGATTTTTTTTTAAGAAAGGATTGAGGCACTCGCACCAGCTAGCAGCCACAAGGCACCTAAATCTTTCAGAGAAAGAGAATTTGTTGCCCCATTATCAGAAGAAATGAACTTCTTACCTCCTCGAAGGTGCTGTTAGGATTAAGAGGAAGAAGTTGACACAGACCAGATAGAATCCTGTGTTTGAATGGAATTTATGCATCATGTATGAGATGTATGAATATGCAACAGGCTATTGCTTTTAAGGGTTAATCCAGGTGTCCTTTTTTGGGCTCATGCTGCCCAGAAGAAGGTACCCAGACGTCCATAACTCTTTGTCTCTGTTGTCTCATATTGTCCTAATTCAATTTGTCCAAATTATTATTACTCTAATTGTATTACTATTTTTATAACCATTTTATTACTATAAAACTTTTAAATTTTTAAAAACAAGTGATTGCCATTTTTCACATCTATCAAAACTTGAAGTACAGCTTGTCCACGTGCCTGCTGTCTTAGTGATGTATATAATGGAATCAAAGCTGCTGCTTAACAGCTTACAAAGGTGTACGCTGATGTTGTGGAAACTTCACTCTTGTCTTCAGGAAGGAAAATAAATTTGCTCAGCAATTGACAGTGGTATTTAAGACTTCTCTGTCTTAGTATTGAATGTGTTTTTCCAGCAGATCTGGATCCCTGTGTGTGCACAAAACAGCCATTTGCTTACACCCCTCCTCACTGGTGTCAGAGGTTCATTTCCCTGGAATTGGGCTTTAGTTTGACACTATCTGAACTAGAAAATAAAGCAATAGTATGTTAATGGTCTCTATTTTACTGTATCAGTCTGCTCAAATGTTTCTAAAGCATAGATATCTCCTTGTTTTAATTTGCTCCCCAAAGTTATAGTTGAGTAATTTAGTATTTAACGTGCTTGAATATTTGTTGCTAAATAGCCTGACTAAGAAATGTGTGTATTTTCTAACAGGAACAACTTCCTGAGGCTATGTGTGCTGAAAGTTACTCAGCAGAGTGAGAAGCACTTAGAGAAGATCCTGAATGTGGATGAATTTGTCAAGAGAGTTTTCTCAGTCATCCATAGCAATGATCCGGTAGCTCGGGCTATTACACTCCGGTGAGTATGGCAGGAGGGGTCCTCATTTACTTCAAATCTGGTGAATTGTTCTGATTTACTGCAAACCTGTAAGTCACTATCAATGTGCTTGTCTGGAATAACAAGACCAAGTGCAAGGTGTTGCATCTGGGCCAGGGAAACCCCTGGTATCAGTCCAGGCTGGGGATGAACAGATCAAGAGCAGCCCTGCCCAGAAGGACTTGGAGGTGCTGGTGGATGAAAAGCTGGACATGACCCAGCAATGTTCACTGGCAGCCCAGAGAGCCAAATGTGTTTTGGGCTGCATCAAAAGGAGCCTGGGCAGCAGGCCAAGGAAGGGGATTCTGCCTCTCTGCTCCCCTCTGGTGAGACCCCTCCTGCAGTGCTGTGCCCAGCTCTGGGGTCCCCAGCACAGGAAGGACATGGACCTGGTGGAGGGAGTCCAGAGGAGGCAACTGAGATGGTTAAAGGGATGGAGCACCTCTCCTGTGAGGAAATGCTGAGAGAACAGGGATTGTTCAGCCTGGAGAAGAGAAGGCTTCAGAGTGCTCTAATTGTGGCCTTCCAGTACCTGAAGGGAGACTACAAGAGAAATGGAGAGGGACTTTTTACAAGAGCCTGTAGTGACAGGACATGGGGAAATGGATTCAAAGTAAAGAGAGTAGGTATAGATAAGATATTGGGAAAAAATTCTGTATTGTGAGTGTGGTGAAGCACTGGAACAGGTTACCCAGAGAAGCTGTGGATGTGTCATCCATGAAAGTGTTCAAGGCCAGGCTGGATGGGGCTTTGAGCAACCTAGTCAAGTGGAAGATGTCCCTGTCTGTGGCCAGAGGTTTAGAACTGGATGATCTTTAAGGTCCCTTCCAGCCCAGGCCATTCTGTGATTCTGTGAGTGAAATAAAGGAGGGTTTTTATACATGCCTCATAGAGTTAAAAGCCTCACAGAGTGAAAAGAAAAGCTGTCTTTGAAAGGCATGAATGATAAGGATTGGTGATAAGAAGAACAAGGTAATTAACTACTTATGATGGTCAGAATTTTGTGGATGGTCCCAGGCAAGAGAGAATTTGCAGTGTTGAAATTTTGTGTACACCAGAGAAGAAAACTGAATCTGTATTATGCATAACCCAGACAGTAGCTATATGCAATATATCACATCTTGCCTAGGATATTTTTAGACCAAGTGAAAGTCCTTCCTTTTGTGGCTCAAAATGTTTTTTGTTAACTTGCAACCAAAACTTACACGAACCTTGTTATGCTTGCACCTATTTTTCATTCTGCCTTGTCCTAGCTGGAACTGCTAGTTGATCTCTGATCAGTAACTTCTAAGGAAATGCTTTTATATTACTGATTGCTTTGAACTTCTGGGAATCAAGTGGGAAAACAAAATTAATCTGTCTTCCATGCCACTGTCCTGCTGGTTTGGTGTCTGTGTCTCTAATGCTATCCAACATGATCCTCTTAACTGCATCTTCCAGCCCCTGTGCAGGTGAATTCAAATGTGAAGAGAACACTTGTGGTTTTTTATATTCTTTTTATACCTCCATCTGGAACTGTTATTGATTTCACTGCTGGGAGATGGGAGGTCATTAGCTAATGACCTTTGATTGATTAGGTCATATGTCCATTTCTTTTTTCTTTCAATATTTCATTTGAGATTATGTTTTTATGCCCTGGTGTCTCAGGAATCTGTAAATACAATATGCCTGCATGGTTTTTGTAGTTTCTGTTCAGTGCTCTAATATAAGATTGCAGTTGTTGACTGGCATTGAGGGTTATCTTCACAGGCTGCTACAAGTCCCAGGAGTCCTCTCAGTTTGCATAAGTACTTCAATTACTAAATTCACAGGATACATCAAATAAAATATTAAAATAGCTGTTGGTTCAACAGTTTCAGTTTAAAATCTTCTGTTGATTTTTTTGTCCTCTTTGAATAGTGTCAATAAGGAAGAACTTGTTGAAAGAAAGAGCTGCTTAAACAAAACTTTGTCTGTGAAATTTTATTGCTGATAACTGTGTAAATATTTGCACAGAATTGTAGCTAAAATTACCATCAGTATAAATCCTACATTTATTCTTCTTTTAACTGGATAATGCTAAATATGCCTGAAAGGTATCTTTGAAATATTTTTGGCAAAGTATAGACTACTTTTTTAGCAATTACACAAAAAGTGATGCTACTTTTTCACTAATAACCTTATCTTAGATCAGTAAAAGATGTTGGAAATAAATCATGCCATAGTGAACTCTTAATTTTAAAAGAATTTTTGGTAAGTTTCTCACTGTGCCAATTTCAAGCTAAAAGTTATCAAAATGTAATGGAATTTTTATCAAACCACTGATGCAACCCACACAACAAAATCTGTTTCATTTAATGACATGTTTACTTTTAGCATTTGCTTGTTTCTGTAATAGTCATGAAAGAGCATATATTTATATAAACCTAGCCTTTTAACCAGTCTTTTTTACATTTTTATTTGGTTTCATCATTTCTTCATGATCACTGTTCTTCCTGATTTTGCTGGGATTTATTTCTGCAGGATGCTGGGCAGCATGGCATCTATCATTCCAGAAAGGAAGAATGCACATCACAGTATTCGCCAGAGTTTGGATTCCCATGACAATGTGGAAGTTGAAGCTGCTATATTTGCTGCTGCCAACTTTTCTGCACAATCTAAGTAAGAACTATTTTTTTCACTTTTTCACATTACAGAGAATGGAAACTCCATTAACACTGACATTCACAAACCTCTCTATTTTCTGTTGTGCTGTCCTTTATAGCAAAACAGTTACGTGCAATAAAGATGTAAGGAAATCTGAATACAAGTTCAGCAGATTTTTTTTCTGAAATAGAAAGCTCATAACTATGAGAAGTGGAATAGCAGCTTTAATCATTAATTATTTGACAGAAATATTAGTAAAATGTAGTGCTGCTTGTCAGTTTTTGAAAGCTTTCATTTTCTCATTTGGTCATGCCCTCTGTGCAGTGGTTCTGAAAAGACTCAGGTTTTGGCAAGCACTCTTTTGTATAACTTTTAATTGTTAGAACACAGTGTTTGGTAGTTCAGTCAAATTTTTTTTCTATTTTTAATGACTTAATTTTTTATTTTTCATTTCACCTGATACTTTCTTTTCTCCACAGGGATTTTGCTGTCGGAATATGTAACAAAATCAGCGAAATGATTCAAGGTACATTTGTATGTTGAATGATAAGGAGGAAAATCTTTCAGAGAAATTAGAGTTCTTTATTATTCATATTTACATATTAGATATCAGAATTCTGTTGTCCTTAGATGATTCCAGTTTTTAAATTAGGTGACAAATAATCTGTCTGGTTATCTTAAATCCTCCTAAAATTTAAGTTTTTGAAGCACTTGTTTGGTACAGAATAAAAGCCCATCTATAGTGTGATGAATAAACTTGCATAGACTCTGATAGGTTGCTTCAGATGAGTTAATTTGTGTGTTACCTGCAGGGAAGCAAGGAGCAGCTTTCTCAAACAGCCATGAAAGTGCTTGATAGTGCTGTCATTTCACACCTAGCTAGAACATGAGTTATTTGAAGCCACTGCAGGTGTTTGCACAATCTCCTTTCAGCAGTGGTAGCAATCCAGACATACTCTGTGCCTCACAACTGCCAAAAAACGCCAGCCCAAGGACTAACTCTGGCTGTGTTTCTTTCCTTATTGCAGGTTTGGCCACACCTGTGGACCTGAAGCTGAAGTTGATCCCAATTCTGCAGCACATGCACCACGATGCCAGCCTGGCCTCCAGCTCCAGGCAGCTGCTGCAGCAGCTGGTGACATCCTACCCCTCCACCAAGATGGTCATTGTCACCCTGCACACCTTCACTCTGCTTGCTGCTTCTTCTTTGGTTGACATTCCCAAGCAGGTAACTCTTCCTAAGGCATGCCTTCCTCTTGAAGTACAAAGTACATTTTAGAAGCACTCAGGTTCTCCCTGCTGATCAAAACAAATAGTGATGCAACCACAGGAGTTGGTTGCTCCTGTGCTGTTGAGGAAGAATACCCTGAAAACTGCTGCTGCTTTGATATTTTTTACCTTTTCTGGTTCCATTTCTAGGTGACTGTATCAAACACACTACTCCTTTTTTACAGTTCATAACATGTCTTTTTCTAAATCAGGGATTCAAATCAACAAGGATAGATCAGCATATGGGAAAATAAACACCCTGACTTTTTCTGAAGAGACTTCAACTTGCCTATGGAAGCCAGGCTTCACTTTGCATTTCTGTATATTGTCTTGGGTTGTGAGTGTGCCTTTTGCCTTTCTTTCATGCATTTAAAGTGCATTTCTTGGAGAATTTTGAGGAATTTCAATCAGTTCCTTAAATTCAAGACTGTAAACCAAGTAGTGGGAAAGCAGTGATGAAAAAAATATAATGCTTTTTATGCTCTGATAATGAGCTTTTTGGATGTGATTTATAGAGCAGGTCTGAACACAGTGTCACTTGAGACTCATCCAGCTAGTCTTTGTAAAGGAGTCACAAAAATCTATTTGCTTTCTTTCAGCCCATGCAAGGCTGGTGTCTCTGTCTGTTAGATAATGGCATTGATCTGTCTGAAACTCTCTGCTGTGGCTCACTTCTGTATTTCAGATGATGCTTCTGATGGTGCTGAACCTCAGTCTACTGAAACAACATGAGAACACTTAATGTGCTGCTTTTATTTTTTTTTTTTATGGCAGTAAACATGGAGATTTAGGCTGTATTTCTGCAGCACAACAGCCAATACTGCATAAAACTGATGTAGCCAGAGTGGGGATGGAGACTAAAAACCATGGCTGGCATGTTCATACTTTCTCAAGTTAGTTTTGGCTCTGTGTACTTAACATTTCTTCCTGAGTGCTTTTGAAAATACTTCCTTCTAGTAGCATCACTTTTAAACAATGAATTTATTTTCTTGCAGATTCAACTTTTGCTGCAGTACTTGAAAAATGACCCCAGGAAGGCTGTGAAGAGGCTTGCAATCCAGGATTTGAGGCTGCTGGCCAACAAGACACCACATACATGGAGCAGAGAAAATATTCAGGTCTATATGTTTTTTTAAGCTAAAGTTTATTATGAAATTTCCCAAGGATTTGTAGAATTCTTCCCAGAGGAATGATTTGGGAGGTAAAGGAAGGAGTAACATACATCTCCATACCCTTAAGTTAGGTTACTCTGCCAAGCAGCCTAGCCAAGCATAATGAGCAGCTCACAGAATGTCTTCAGTTGGATAAGTTGACACTCAAGAATTGAAGCTGAAGCATTATTACCAAGGGAAGGCATGTGCCATGTAGGAAGCCTCTGTACCATGAGGAAGTAGCTTTTCCATCTGACAAACTCATTTCAGGTAACAGACATGAGAGCTGAGTGTTTTTACACTGATCTTACCACAATGAGTACACACCAGTGCTCTGGTGCAAAACAGCCTCTGGGATTTGTCAAAACATGTTATCCAGCCAGGGGTACTTGAAAGGACAAATGGGATTTTGATTTCATTTCTTAGAATTAATGGGGTTTTTGCAATGGTAGCTTTGTGACTCCTGTTGTACCAATGAGAAGGTGTTTATAGTGCACCTGTGCTATTTGGGGAAACTTGTGTTATGTTGTAGATGTTACTGCTGCCTTCTTTCAATCACTGTTGCATATGAATTTTTTCTCCTTCCCCTTTTTCTGGTAGAAATGACTATGGAAAATAACTTCAGTTTAGATTAATGGGAAAGTAAATATTTCAAGAACTTAATGGCAGAGGGTTACAGCTCTACTTTTTCCTGGGTCATTTTTTCTTTGCTTTTGTTACTCTTGGAAGCTACTTGGATCCTGTCCTGTTGGAGCATAAGGCATCTGGGAGAAAAAGCTATGCAGGTTTTTGTTAACAATCATGTGAGAAATAAAGCAGGTTCTGCTTTGTCCCCAGTTCTTGGAGATGATGGTTTGGAGTGTGCAGTGCTTTTTGCTTTAGTGAACTGCTTTATTCTTCATAATGGGTTAACTCCAGAAATTTATTTCCTCTTAGGAATTTTAAGCAATTGTGGATTTTTTGTGAAGAAAATGCTACTCTATCCCATATTTCAGTAGTAATTATGTCAGTACAAGTGAGAGGCATTGATAACTTGGCTTTCATTGTCATGTAGTGTTTTGAAGTAGAGTGGGTGACCTGATGGTTGAAATGCATAGGGAAAAGTTCCACTGATGTCGGAACTGAACCAGTGACTGGGTGAAAACAGAGCTAATTGTCTGAAGCTTGCTACTGCTTGCTGAATGGCATGCAGAAACAGAGTTTTTCTGACTTCTGAAATAACAAGTTGACATTTTGAGTTGGGAAGTTGTTCTCCTAACAATTGGAGATAATATAAACAAATACTATGTTTATACAACAAGGACTGGAACAGCCCCTCATTTTCTTGTGACAAGGCCTGCCACTTGTACCTTTTTACCAACAAACATTGGCTAGTTTCTTCAGCATTTTAAGTCTGTCCTGTGTAGGTCAGGTGGGAAGTTTGGTCTGTGGAGGCTTCACCAATTTCTAGCCATCAGCCTCAGAAGCTGTTGCTGCCTGGAGCAGTCCATCCTGCTGACTCCTCTGTGCTCCTGGCAGTGTTCACAGTCACTGTTTCAGATATGCCCTGAGAGATGATCTAAAAGCACTGGAGGAAAGCATCAGTGTCTTGGGAGACATCAAGACTCATTTTCTGTCCCAGTCATTAGATCTTCTCTGTCTGTTGATGTCATTCTAGTCAGTGGATTAGCAAAATACTAATTGGTACAAATCACAAATATATTTAGAATTTAACCCTTAAACAATACATATACCTGATAAGAACACTGTGGGGTTTTTTAAATGTTCTATGGAACTAAATGTGTTATTTTTCTTTTTTTCATTATTGGCTCTTTGGCATTCAGCTTTGGCACACTCTAAAGCAGAATATACTTATATTTTCTATTTATGTCTCATATTACTGTCCCTCCTGTTGACTAAAAAAGCATCCAAAACCAGTGAATGACTAAATTGTGAGCAATGTTGGCATAAGGAATTGAGAACAATGTGCATTTGCAGAGTTATTCAAACCTAAATGTGATAAGACCTGTGATAAGATCTGGCAAAAGGCACTACAAATGAGATAGAACATAAAATACCCCTTAATTTATTTATCAATAACCTTAAACTCCTGTTGGACACCAATAGTGCTAAAGGAAATGGCACTTGAAACCTTGCTCTTCAGAGACATATATATGTCCTTGCACATATAACCTTGCAGATTGTTACAATGCAAGATAATCAGTATGCCTGAAACTATCTTAAAATCCTTTATAATATTGGATCAATGAGACCAGATAATATTTTTGCCGCTGATTTTTAATTAATTAATGACTTATAATTGATGTTTCCTAGCATATAGGACCCACTGTCACTTTTCTGCAAGCCACATCCTCAGTCCTCTAAACCAGATGCTTCAGGACTTGGCTTTTGATTTTAGTACGGTATTTTCTGTGGGAAAAATCTTGATTCTTAAAACTTCCCAGAGAAGTGCAACTAAATTCTCCATACAGATAGCTCATGCTACTTCTCACCTCTATATTTTTTTTTTCCTGCTGATTTTTAGGCACTCTGTGAATCTGCTCTAAACACTCCTTATGACAGCTTGAAAATGGGCATGTTATCTGTTCTTTCCACGTTATCAGGGACCATTGCCATTAAACAGTACTTCAGCAGTGCTCCAGGTAAGAAAACTGGATGAGATGGTTACCTTTGGCATTCTAATAGCTTGGTTTTCTGCTGCTGATCAGTTTCATCTCAACACTTTGTAGCATTTTCTAAAACTATTTTTGAACTTCAGAACACTGAGAGTCAGACTGTGTTCATCATGTATGTAAAATTAAAATGGGACACTGTATAGTTATGAATAATGGTGGTTTTGTTGTGTTTTGTGGGTACTGTGGTATATTAAAAGGGTTTTTGCCTTTGGGTCTTCAAGTTTTCTTCATTTTGTGAAGGAGCATGTTGCCTCTCAAATGGCTGACCTGTGTTCTGCTTAAGGTGCTTTGAAATCATGGATATGCATGCACTAATTTTTGAGTAGTAGGGAGGCTTTGTGGTGTAAGAGTGGACTGCCGTGTTACTGTTCCACCCTTGTGGGCTTGACAGTAGTACCAGGTGTCACCAAAATATTGTGACAGTATTCTGGAGAAATTTTAGAGAAAGTAGACATTTAAAAGTGATTCAAGGTATCTTGTTCTCAAAATTATGATCACACTCTTTTTTCTTCTTGAAAGCCAGACTGCCCAAATGAGTGCTATGAGCTCAAATACATGGGCTGCAGAAATGGAAAAAAAATAGTACATCCTCTTCAGTCATTCTGGCATGGCTTAATAATTAATAGGCTCACCAGCTTTTTTTAATCAGACATAATATTTCTTAAGGCAGTATTTCTCTGAGTCCTGAAACAGAACATTTGGAGCTAAAGGTTGATTTCTCATGTGTCTAACTTGTGTAGTGTTCAAGAATGAGAGAGCCTCTGGGTTTGTCTGAAGAGAAAAAAATATTTTCATCCTATTGTTTAAACGTAAGAAAAAGCCCTAAATCAATATAATGGTTTTGCAGAAATGTACTTAAAAGATCTGTGGTATATTTATGGACTGTGCAGTTTTATGTTCCATTTGCCTTGCTTTTATTTAGGAGCAGCAGCTACAACTGCCAGGTCATTTGATTTGGTAAAACTAGCACAGGAGTGCTGTTACCATAATAACCGTGGCATTGCAGCTCATGGAGTGAGAATTCTCACCAATATTTCAGCCTCTTGCCAGGAGAAAGGTAAGGGAAAGCAGGGGCAATGCAGTGGCTCTGTTTGCAGCCAGGCTTATGCACTTAGCACGGATTAACTCGTCCTGTCTGTGAACCTGGATGTAAGTCTGTCTGATCCCTCAGGCTGGTTAGGGAGAATGGACACTGTCATCTAGTATGGCCTTATGAATGGTTGGGAAGGTTCCATCTTTGTCTCATTTAGAGAAAATTACTGCCCACAATAGAACTCGTGCTAAATGAATGCTTGTTTGACCTTTGCCGTAAGATTAGTGAATTGTTGGTCAACTTTTGAAAGCCCTTTGCACAGAGCCTGTTGCAAAATAATAATAGGGCATTTAGAAGTCTTAGTGCCAAGATTTATGCATGCTTTGCAAGTGTCAATGGGGCTGCTGAATAGTTACCCAAGAGATGGAATGACAGAATTGTTTCTCATCAAAGTAAGGCAAAGCAGAAGTGTTAGGAAGATTCTTAATTGTCATGACTGCAACAGCAGTGCAAGCATTACACCAGCTATGGTCAGAGAACAGAACAGAGAACAAACTAACTCTTTCTCTTTTTGTAGATCTTCTGCCTTTGGAGCAAGATGCAGTTTTTGGCTTAGAAGCTCTTCTTGTTCTCTGTAGTCAAGATGATAGCCCAGGAGCTCAGGCAACCTTAAAGGTGACATTACTGTTGTCTTCCCCTTCACAACTGTAATAACAGCTTGTGTAACAGAGAGGCTGGTGTGCACCAGATCCTTTTGCTGGAAGCATAACAGACTGGAGGGAAAAGAAGATTTTTTCTGGTTTGCCCATAATCAGAGTTCAGAGCAGCAGAGAAACTGAGCATAGCCATAGTACAACTCCTCTCAACTCTAGGATAAGAGGATTGTTGCAGATGGCAGGGAGCATTCCTCTCAGAGGAACAGCTGTAATAAAACATGAACATTGGATTGAGGTGTCTCTGGAGGACAAAGAGAATCTTGGAGACAACTTGCTTTTTGGAGATGGAGATGCATTTTTATAAATGATTATTATTTTCCCACTTCAGAAACCATCAGTGATTTTTCTAGTTATTTACCTTAAAGGCTGGTGGCATGAGAGACTATTAATGGTTCTTGAATTTGTGATGCGTTTTAGTGCTGGTAGCTCAGGAACAAAGACTTGGGCTCTTGGAAAAATCTCATCTTTTGTAGAGTACATAGTTGTGAAAATACCAGATGAGTGTTTCTGCAGTCCTGCTTGCAGCTAAGTAGGTGGGCCTGGCTTTGTTGGTTTGAGGCCATTGTGGTGATGTTCCTGTGGGCTGTGTGAGTTGCAGATCACGCTGACCTGCATGGTGAAGCTGGTGAAGTGCCGCCCCCACCTGAGCCAGTCCGTGGTGGAATCCCTGCTGGCACAGCTGCACAGTGCCCAGGACAATGCCAGGATCCTCATGTGCCACTGCCTGGCAGCCATTGCCATGCAGCTGCCTGTCCTGGCAGATGGCATGCTGGGAGACCTAATGGACCTCTATAAATTAATTGGACAATCTGCCACAGATAAAAAGCAGGAGCTCTTGGTAAGACCTCCCTTGATGGATAAAGTCTGTATTAACAATTGGGAATGAACTGTATTTTAAAAGGCAGCTAAGGCATTTGTTATGTGTCCAGGTTGATGTGCCAGTCTGTAGCCACTAGTTTCAATTTTCTTTTAACTTCTGTCTCTTTATGTCAGTGTTCAGTGTAAAAATATCTCCTAGATGGAGCTGTACTATGCAGTGTATTCCATGAGATTTTCCAGCAGATGGCACTGCTTAGGCAAACGTGGCTATTGAAATTATTGGAGTGTCTCTAAAGTAGTGTTTAAAGGCCAAATGTCAGCTATCTCCATTTATATAGGGTGCTCTGAGGCAAATGACTTAATATACTGTAAGAGAGAAAAATGCTTTCATCATGTGTACTTGGAAAGGAATTTCAATTTTAAAAAAGAAATTAGAAGCTTTCTGTTAAATTAGTTGTAGCATTTGAAATATTTCAGCTAAAAGGCAGATTAGAGATTCTTAAATTAAAGTTGCCTTTATCTACAAGAAATACTTGGATTGCTGTAACTATTAAAAAGATATATGACTGAGAAGTTTTGCAATTAAAATATGTATATGTAATCTTCTATGTAGTTTTGAGCCCAAAATAAAACAGAAATGGCTTTTTTTTTCTTATTTTCTGTAGTTACTGAAATATAACTTTCTTTCTCACTCCTCCACTCTCTGCTAGGTTTCTCTTGCCACAGTGATATTTGTTTCCAGTCAGAAAGCTTTGTCCACAGAAATCAAAACTGTTATCAAACAGCAGCTTGAGAATGCCTCCAATGGATGGACAGCCTACAGGATAGCCAGGCAAGCTTCCAGGATGGTAAGTGAAAATCCCTGGAGAAAAATGGTTTGCTGTGATTGAAGGAATTGGCTGGGAATTCTTTGAATTTGATAAGGGAATAAGGAAAATTGTAGGACTTGGGAGAAAGAAGTGAATGGGGGAAAAAAATAGAATCACTTTCCCTTCTAATTCCCTGGAATGCAGATTCATATATTCAGAATTTGTGACATTCATCCCATCAAAATGGTTTTTTACTTATCCTCTTGAAGTATTTGAGAAGAAAGTAAGTGATGTCCTGGCACTTTGTTGAGCACATGCCTAATATGTATTGTCTGACTGCTCTTCAGAATGTGAAGGTCATCCTGATGTATGGTTCTCTTTCTTCAATGTGAAGAAAGGAAGAAAAATATACTGTTTCCCTTTTTCCTTAAGTAAATTCACAGTTGGGGTTAGAATTACGCAGAAACCCTAGCATGACATGCCGAGGTAAATTTCCATGGTTTTTTCTCATCTTATTGAATTGTCTTGTGTAAATAAATACTATACTTTTTTACAGGCTGGTATTTCTATAAAGTAAGCACTTGTGCTTTTACTTCTTATTAGCATTGCCACAATCAAATAATTGAAAAAAGTTTCAGTGTTTTTGTTTGAAAGCTGGAGATGTTCCTGTGTTCTTATTTGTGTAAGTTCTGTGGAAATCCCCAGCCTTCTTTCACGTCCCCTTTCAGAAACATTCTTGTCATTACAGGGCAACCACGACATGGCCAGAGAGCTGTACCAGAGCCTGCTGACCCAGGTGGCTTCAGAGCACTTCTACTTCTGGCTGAACAGCCTGAAGGAGTTCTCCCAGGCTGAGCAGTGCCTGACAGGGCTGCAGGAGGAGAGCTCCAGCTCCGCGCTCTCCTGCATCGCCGAGGCGCTCAAGTCCTACCACAAAGGGATCGCCTCGCTCACGGTCAGCACACACCTCTGCTGCTGATGTTTCTGCTGCTGCAGCGTGGCTCCTTGGGCTCTGTTCTTAGCTCTCTGAAAAGTTCTTCAATAGCTCTGGCATCTGCCAGACTCTGTTTGGTTCTCCTCTGCAGGCATCACACACTGCATCTTGAGAGAACACATCCTATAACTCAGCCAAGTGTGATTAGCTAGATTTCTCCTTGCTTTTTCTTCTCCCTCCACCCCTCATTTCCTGCCTTGATCAGATCAAATGAAATGTGACAGATCTTGTTTAAATTAAAGTTACAATACTTATAGTTTTCCACTCCTTGCTTTGGGTGAATAAAAGCTTTTGTAATAGTCAAGCCTGGGAATTGGCCTAAATTGGCTGCTATCTTCTTGAAATATACAGAAGGATTCAATTGTCTTCCTCCCTCCTGCTGAGCTCATGCTGCCTTCTATTTGACAATGTGATCTCATGGAATCATAAAAGCAATCTAGTAAGAAGAGGAAAGACAATTCAGTTTCATCAAATCCAACTGGTACCTGCTTTTATATAAATACTTTCTGCTTCTCTGAAGTGGTAAAAATAGCAAGAAGCTGTGTGATGTCTGTGAACATAAAAAAAAGTATTAATGATTAGGGACCTTCAGTTCCTACTGTAAAGTTGCTTCTTAAGCAAAGATGATCCAGGTTCACACAATACTTTTTCATATTTTAGTTTCCATGAAGCAATCTTTACATACAGTTTCTGTATGCCTTTTCAGTGAAGCTGCTTTGTTGTTTTAGTTACTGGACAGTTAGGGTCATGACAATTCAGACATTAGTATTTAATAAAGTTCAGATACTAAAATTAATTAATAAAATGTCCCTGAATAAGCTTCAATGACATAAATTTCCACTTTTGTCCTCTAAAAGACCCATCATTCCTGAAGTGTTTGTCTTTAAGTGTTGGCTGAGTGAATCAGGCTTTTAATTCAACACTTTGAGATTTCTCTTACATCAAGAAGACATTGAGAGGAGGACCTCATCTAATTAGATGTTAATATTTAATACAGGCAGGAAAATAACATACTTAAATAGGTCATACTGTGATCCAGTAATTTAATTACCCCTTCCATGGAGTTTGGGGCTTTTTTTCTGTTGAAGGATTCCTGTCTTCATCTCTTCTGCTGACTTCAGTTCCTGTTGCACATAGTGCTTTTCTGGGCCCAGTGCCCTCCTTATGGATGCTTGTGGTCCAGAGGAGTGAGTACAGGATTTGTAGGTTAGAGGGGAGGAAATTGGGTATTACTGCTGGTTGTTGCTGACTTGTTGCATCACTCTGGACAATTTCCCAGCTGTGCTTGAGTGTATCAACTGCAAAAGGAGCCACTCACTGGTTGTCTATAGAACTCAGCCCCTCCAAGGGGAGCAAAGTGCCACAAAATGTACATGGCAGCCTTGCTGCTGAAGGCTTTTGCTCTCTTTCTTCTGGCTGGAGCTCTCCTGTTGCTGCTGTTTCAGTGCAGAGCATGACTCAGCCCTGCTGGTACCACACACCAATGGTGCATGTGATGAGCCTGGTGTAGCTGCTCCACTTTGTAGCTGGAAAACACAGTGTCAGTAAATCTCTTGCAGATGTTCAGCCAGCCCAGTTTAGCAACGATGAAATGTTCAGACAGCGCCTTGTCGGAAAATTTCTCAATTCCTCCTTGATAAACATAAAACTCTGTCTTTCATTTCAAAGTGTTCTTTCATTGGAGTTAGTGCACTTGAGGGAAAGAAGTCCCTCTGCTTTATGGATAAGAGTTTCACCCTGTGGGAGGGCAGGGACTTGTCAGGGAGCACATTGACCACAGTCCCCATCTGCCTTGCTGTGTGCTTGGTTGTACAGTTAGCAAAGGTTTTGAATGGGTCCTGCTCTTTCTGGCACAGATCTTGTGTCTCATTGGGTTTATTTTTCCACTGCTGCTAATCTAACGATGATACAAAACTTGAACCAAGCACTTATACAGCCATTGGTTAAGTAGCACCAATTCCAAATATGTCAAGTGGTGGTGTTTGAAGAACTTGGCTGAGCCAAAGAAATACTTCTGTCACTTTCAGAAAGAATTGTAACTCACTCACTGCCCATGGCAGATAAGGTGAATTGCAGTATTAATGAGACAAGCTTGTATTTCCATTTACAAGATTCAAGTCCAATTTGTGCTACTAAAAAGTCTGTATTTTCTGATATGAGTACTTTACTCTTTAAAAGCATGTAGTCTCTGTAGAGCAATTACAGTGCAGTGTAGCCCTCTTCTACAGAGGGTTTTCTGAAACCATCCTTGCAAAATAAACTGAACAATTCCAGTTCTTAAGGTTTTTTTTGTGCCCTTGTAGAAGGAAAAGCAAAGTGATAGATAAGAGAGGCTTAATGGTTTAAATATGAAATAAGTCTTATTTTTTCAGTTGAAATCTAGTTCAGTAGTTTAAAGTGGTTGCAGTGGGCTGACGTTTCCTCACTTTAGCCAGCAGTGGGCCAGTTCTCAGATGATGTGATGCTTTGTGAGAAACCAGTTGGCTGGTTTTCTGCCAGCAAAGAAATTGTTCTTAGTAAGGTTCTGGGGTAGATTATAACTTCTTGCTTTGAGAAGTGACCTGGTAAGGAATAAGAAGCACTGGCAAAGACAGGCATGAGTCCAAGAGGAAGTACCAGTGCTTTGTTTTTGGAGAGGGCTTGTTCTTCTCAAAATCCAACAGTTTAAGAAAAATAAGTAGTGGATTTTTGGCTTAACTAGTATCAAACCTCGAGTACTGCAGTTTACCCCCTCCTGGGTGTCCTAAACTGTCATAGATGCTTCTACAAGTCAGATAAGCTTTTAGGGAGCAAAGCTTCATAGAACTGTATTTTCTGAACAATAGCAGCTTGTCTAGTCTCCTGGAATTCTGTTATTTACTGTTCTTAGTTACCACTAGATTGTGTCTCTTGCCTTCATCAAATGCAAGGTTCAGTGCCTTCATAATGTCCCCATCCATTTCCCAGTTCCAAAAACAACACCCCTTCCTCTTGCTGTGGGTAACTTGAGCCAATTCTTTTTCTTCTAGCTGATGCAGAGAATCACTTTTTCAGTCCTTTTGTTTCTTGTTTGCCATCCAATTCAGTGTATTTTTTCTTATGGTAAAGACTATCTGGCCTAATGTCATTTGAAGTCTAATGGCTTGGTGTCAGAAAAAGAGGAAATAGATGCCATAAGAGTATTTTAACTGCTTACGTCACATTTGTTACAAGGGTGCCGTGCTTGGAATATGACTTAGTAATTATGTAACTTCTATGTCATTTATATTAGTATGATTGAAATTGAGCAACACTGTTAAATGTAATTTAAAAAAAAACAGCTTTTAGAATTGAACTTGAGGATTCAGTTTTCTGAGACTGTTCAGTGACACTGCAGTGTAATTTTATCATTTTTGCTTTTAACCTAGTTTGCCAACATTCCTATTACTGTGTTTCAGGCTGCTAGTACGCCACTTAATCCTCTGAGCTTTCAGTGTGGATTTGTGAAACTCAGGATTGACCTTCTGCAAGCTTTTTCTCAACTTATTTGTACCTGCAACAGCCTAAAAACAAGTCCACCCCCAGCTATTGCCACGACCATCGCTATGACATCGGGAAATGATCTCCAGAGGTGTGGCCGCATCTCCAACCAGGCATGTGCTCCTGTTCCACTCTTGTGCAGTTGTGTTTGTGACTCTGGTATGAATTCTGCTTCTCAGCAAACATATTTGACAAAAGAAATGAAAAGTAGTTGTGAAGTGGGTTTTGGTTTTCACCTGTAGCTCTGAAAACACCTGCCTGTAGCAGGCTGTGTTTTGAAGGTGAATGTGCACTTGTGTTTTCTCCCCCAGTCACACACAGAGCTTCCAGGGATATACACATAGCAAGTCACTTGGTACACTCAAACTTGCAGCAAGGCTTTTCACACCTTGCTTTGAAACACCTCAGACACTCTGAGTACACTAAGGAAGAATAGATATACCTGAGGATGATTCTGCAACTCCTTTTGCTGAGAGTTGGCAGCTGCCTTGGTACTGTATAAACCTTGCCTTGGTACCTCCTTGGAACACCAAGGAGGTTTGCTTCTAAATCCAGCCAGTGGGTGGTCATTGAAAGACAGAGCAGTTTGATTTACCAGCAGGGGATGGAGGAGGTTGTTGATGGAGTTGTTTTTTTTTTTTCTTTTGCTTTGTTTTTAACCCAAGGAGATTTTTTGGTGCAGGAAATGTACCTGTTTAATGCGTGGATAACAGTCTGTCACTTTGGTAATAATTTTTTGAGTGAAGAAGCAAGAACTTTATAAACTTCTCCAATGTGCCACCTTATTCCTTCAGTGTTGTATGTTACAGTATAGTGGTTTTCTGGATGTGGGGGGTTTTGTTTTGGTTTATTTTGTGTTTTTGCCTAGTAACATTGTCTCTGCAGATGAAACACTCAATGGAGGAATTCCGAAACTTGGCTACACGGTATGGAGATCTCTATCAGTCATCTTTTGATGCAGACTCAGCAACTCTAAGGAATGTAGAACTGTATCCTTTAAAAATCCTAGGGTTTGTCCACTTTCCTTCTCATGTGCACAGCATGAGGCATAAGAATCCTCTTTTCTTTTAAGACTGCCATGAAGTAATTTTGAAAATAAATAACATAAAAATTAGCTGCCAATTATTTAAAAGCCATTTGAAAATAAACATTGCCATATTGTTGTTTGGAATTACTTGTTAAAAAGTTACAACACAAAAATTGGAGCAGCTTATAACTTGGTATTTTCGCAGTTCTTGCTCTCTGTTCACTAAATGGGTAATGACTGTAGGATTACTTCACAGAAGCAAGGAAAAGTGCCACTAAATACACTGCATTTCTTGCTTTAGGTGCCAACTTTGAAAGTCTTTTAGCCCCTTAGTATTAATATCAGACAACAGCAGAGCTGCCTGTTGATTTCACATGCAATAGAAGCTCTGATTTTGGATCCAGAATCTGCAAGGTAGGTTTGATAACTTTGAGTTAACTTCATACTCCTTTTCTGCTCATTAATAAATCCTTGGAGTTTTAAGCCTAGGAATTCAAGGAATGTTCAGAAAGTTTCTCAGTAGACATTTCTAGTTCTGAGCAGGCTTGAGGATCTGTTGCTGCTGTGCTGTACCTGCCAGACCGGGGACTCTCTTTTGGGTTCTGCATTTCACACTGATTTTGCTCTTGAGAGCACTATACTGGAGTTATCTTAAATATAGACTTGAATTTCTAATCTCTCCTTTAGCCACTTATTTTGTTTCTGTTGTTGTGTATTAGATCCCATACCTGTTGCTTGGACTTGTAAGTTCACCTTAGCTTCCTTCAAAGTTGTGAAAACACATGCACTAAATTAGTTCAAATTTTTAATGTAAAGCCATCACCTCTGGCTCTTTTTCTAACAGTGAACTTAAATCCACTAGAAAGCAACGTTGAAGTTCTGATGTATTGAATCACTGTTTAAAAATCCCAGGCTGAGATTAAATGGAAATTAGTGTGGATAAAATCTCTCTGTGATTTTAAAGCTGGTAATAAAAGTGAACATCCTAAGTGACTGTAGTACTCATTATGAATTAAGCATTGCTTAGAAGGTGTATTAGTCAATGAGATAGACTTCTATTCAAAGGAGGAGATTATAAACTTGGAGATTTAGTTTTAATTCTGACTGGCATTCTTGCTGTGTGTTGTGAGATTTTCATGACACTGCAGGGTTAAAAAAGCCAGGGGAAGTAAGTATGCTGAGTCTGTTAGACCTGTCACTGCTTCAGCTGAGAGGGTGGGGACAAGAAGTGGTGAATAAATGGTAGGTAAGAAAGATTTAAATGTAAAGGGCAAGTGTTATAGTGGAAAATAATTTAAAGAACAGAGTAAACAGTTTAAAAGACATTTCTTAATGGATTTCATGTTGTAATATTTGTCATGTCTGTTTGGTAGTGTGCCTTCCAGGTTATGATGAGGAAAGTAAATTAGACATAATGAAAAGTTTCATTTTTTTTCTTTTTTTTTAGTTTCCAGGAATATAGCTCAAATGGAACAGCTCATGTTGAAAGTGAATATGAAAGAAGAATGATGTCTGTATTTAATCATGTGCTAGAGGAAGTGGAATCCCTCAACAGGAAGTATGCTCCTGTGTCTTACTTGGCAAGTAACAGTTTTAAATGTATATATTGTCTAGAGAAAAGGGCCAAAACCCCAGAACTCCATATATCTGTGGTAGGCAAGAAACTGGGAAGCATTCTCAGTTAAGTAACATTTCTGACTCAAATGGTCTCTACAGAGACACACTTGTTTAAAAATACTTCAAGAACCATTTTGCTAAAACATCTGTAACCTTGCTGGTCTGATTAAAATTAATACTTTTAAAATTCCCATCCTAAGAGCACAGCAGATGCTGATAAGGTCACTGCAAGAGCTGTCAGACCCCTCACCACCCTCACATGCAAACCCTGGAGCACATTCTCCTCATTCATGTTCTTGCTGTGAAGGAATTCTCTCCCTGCCACAGAGCAGCCTGGCTTTGTTCCCTGAGCTGCTGGTGGTGAGCCCTGTGCTTTGGGAGTGTTGTGTTTCCCTTATCAGTGCAGGACATCAGGGAGCACAGTGTGAGTGTGCTGGTGCAAACAGTGAGCTGATAACACCCTCCTTACAGGGCTGGTGCCTTTGGCTCTTGCTGCTCATGAGCATCCTGAAGCTGAAGTGCATGTTGGTGGGAGCAAGGTGGTTTGGCATGCTTGGCATCTGTTTGCCTGGTTTCTAAAACCAACAGTCCTCACCAATTCCAAATAGACTAGAGGAGTAAATAATGTAAACCACAGCAAAGGTAAAGCCTGTACACTTAGCTGTGGCTGGCTGCACACCAAGGCAGCTTGGTGACTCCAGTGGCAGTGCTTGTGTTCATCTGGGCCAGAAGCATGGTGCAGCACGGAAAGAAAGAGTAGACAAGAGGCTTGAAACTGAAGTATTGCATTAAGTTGTGGTAGATGCCAGGCTTTTTGCTTGGAGGGGAGTTGTTTTTTGAGAGTTTGTGTGTAGGAGTGTTTCAAGCAGATCCTGCTCTGTGAACTCTAACACTAGGACTGGAAAGATCTGTATTTTTCTTTTGCTTGACCTCCTTGTTTTTTTTCCAGAGCAGAATACCTCCTTCAATAAGGGGCAGAACATAAAACAGAGAGGCTGAATATAGTCATTGTAATCTTAGTGGCTGTAATTCTATGACTGTATTAATACATTTTTGGACTTTAAATGGAAATTCCTGCTCTTTCAGTAGCTCAGGTATATGTCTATTTCCTGTGTCATGAATGATATTTTTTCTCAGTTGTTTTGGCTCTTGTTTCTTGCAGCATACAGCTTGTCTGTGCAATGCTGTCATTGCCTTGTTGAAGGTGCCCCTTTCATTTCAAAGGTACTTTTTCCAAAAGCTGCAGTCTACAAGTATTAAGGTAAGTACTGCTCAAATATGGCCTCAAATTTCTTTAGAAAGTCTTTACCTCATGAGAAAAGCCCTACTGAAGGCACAAAGCTTAAGGATTTTTAGTGAAGATACATAACTGCAAATGGCATTTGGGTTAATCTGTTAGGAGTAACTTGAATAGCATGTATGCAGGGTTGTTCAGGACCACTAGACTGTCACTTAGGCAAGCAGGATTCAGTTCTTTGATTGCAAAGTCTTAAAAGTAAAATGTACCTGGATTTTTTGTTGATTCTGAGTCTACAAAGCTAAATAATTCTAGTCCTGGAAGGGCAGCTTTTATAGATTTGTATTTGGTTTTCTTCCTTTCCCTTTAAAAAGCAATGTTCACTATCTTGGAAGAAAATTGTCCTATATATCAGCTCAGTGACTTAAGAATGACTAAATATGACTAAGGTCATGGGGGTTTTTTTGTTTTGCTTTACTCAAGTGCTCCTTGTTTCTGGGAAAAGGGAAAGCCTTAAGTTTTATTATTTACTCTTACTACATTTTGCTTCTTTGTTCAGCTTCATATACCTATGGCTGTTCTCTGGAAGATTTTTTTCCACATCTTTTGAAGAAGTGAAGTAAATGAAACTGATTCAAAGATAATATGTGGTATTGCTGATGATGTTTATTAAATAATATAGTCATGAGTCTCTGATAAAGGCTGTGTTTCCATTTGCTGATTTTCCTACCCAACCTCTCTTGGATATTTTCCTATAAGAAGGTGTCCTGTTTCATCCTTGAATTTTGTTTGCTTTTTTGGAGGCTTATAATTACATTTTGCTCTGTTTATTGTATTCCAGCTTGCTCTATCCCCATCTCCAAGGAACCCAGCAGAGCCTATAGCAGTACAGAACAACCAGCAGCTGGCACTCAAGGTGGAGGGAGTGGTTCAGCACGGATCCAAACCAGGCCTTTTCCGTAAAATCCAGTCTGTCTGTCTCAATGTCTCTTCAGTGCTGCAGAGCAAATCTGGACAGGACTATAAGGTGTGGATAGAACAGAGCCAGGAGGAGTCTTAAGCTTTTTTGCTGTTTTGCTGTTGTTTTGTTTGTCTCTGGGTAGCAGAATTCCCAGGATGAGATGAATGGGGGTGGTTCTGTGATCCTTTCATTCCTGCCAGTTGACATTCAAGCACTGGCCAGAGCCAAGCATAACTTGTGGAGGGGATCTGGGATTTTTAAGTCTGCAAGATGTCAATACCTTTTTGTAACAGCTCTTCTTCCAAACAAAGAGGTTTTGTGATGTTCAGAACAAGTCATGAGGAATCTGCCTGAGATGAGGAAAACTCAGCCTAGTTTTATATGATATAAATATCGTATAAAACTCCACAGGGAAAAACAAACAAACCAGGACTAGATTATTCTCTACCACAGTCTCTAGAATTTTTTATAGTCATTTTATGGTTCTTTTATTTTGTTTGTGGAAATCATGAGGACAGACTGTCCAAATCAAATAGCATCTGAGGAGACACATACTAAACTTAAGTCAATGGTTTTATCAAAGGCTACGTGCCTGAGGTTTAGGTTCTGCTAGCATGTGATACTTAGTGAAAGGCCTGTTTTGGTGGGTTTTGGGGTCAGGTTTTTGTTTGTTTTGCTGTTTGGGGTTTTTTGAGGGAGAATAGGAGAAAGTTAATGGCTTGTAAAAGGTTACAGGGCTCGGAAGTGTGTGATGTTTGACTCACATTACTTTGTGGGAAAGTAGAACCTCAGGTGGAAGATGACTTGTTAGGTTGTCAAGCTGTCTCAAGTATGCACATGAATTGGTTTAGGAGAATTGCAAACAGGTTTTTCCTATTTTCTCCTCTCTCCTTCAAGTGGAGACCTGAAAACTTACTTTTGGCAGGTTTATGATGTTTTAACCTTCCATCTGTGTTCTCAGATTCCTCTTGACAGCATGACCAATGAAATGGAGCAGAGGGTGGAACCGCACAACGACTACTTCAGCACTCAGTTCCTGCTCAACTTTGTCATCCTTGGCACCCACAACATCACCGTGGAGTCCTCTGTGATAGACTCAAACGGTATTGTCTGGAAAACTGGGCCTAAAACAACGATTTTTGTGAAGTCTCTTGAGGATCCATACTCGCAGCAGGTTCGCCTGCAGCAGCAGCAGCAGCAGCAGCAGGGCCCGGCCCCGGCGCAGCAGCAGCAGCAGAGAACGGCGTACTCGCGCTTCTGAGTGCCACCCTCGCCCCAGCCTGCTCTGCTGGGACTGCAGCAGCCACCCCAGCCTGCTCTGCTGGGACTGCAGCTCTTCTGGACACTTCTTTTTTAAAGGCTTTTTTGAAGATGTTTTTATTGCAGCCTTCTCCTAGAAAGTCTCAGATGCCAGTTTGTTGCTTCTTAAATTATCTGGAGTAAATTCGAACTTGATTCAGCAGAGGCAGCTGTTCAAATCTGGAGTTGTGCTCTTACTGTAAGAACTTGTACCTGATCTCTAACTTCTGTTTACAAACCTGTTCCAGCAGGCTCCACAAACTGCAGTGGACACTAAGCTTGTTCACTGGTACTTTCCATGTTTTTTGAAGCACATAGTTTCTAATGTCAGGCTTACACGACATTGGGAAACACTTCACTTTGGCTGGTTATACAGAAATGAGTGTAATACCAAGTGTGTATCTTTTAATGTGAAGCAATTGGCAGGAATATCCAGAGATTCTTTTTCTGACATTTTAATAGTAAGTTCCAGTATTTGGCTGGTGTATGTATGTTATTAAAATTCTTCAGCACTACTTAATGCATGCAGCTGGAAGAAAAAAAATTGCAGTTCACTTGTGATACCCAGTCACTGCAGAGGGAGGAGACTGCTAGAGGGGTTGCTGTCTGGGGAGTCTTGCAAGAGGCAGAGTTTTCCAGGTGGGAATAATCACTGTCTCTCAGATGATATGGAAGATATTACCATGTTGTTTTTAAATTTTCATGCATCTGTATCTCTGAAACCTTTTCTTTTGTAGGGGTTTTTTTATTTGCTCTTTTTAGAGGGAAATTAAAATGAATGACAGCTTGCAAGTAAGCAGCTCTGTTTTTTAAAAGGAGTCTTTTATACCAAAACTTTGTAATCTTATGTGTTCTTTGACCAACTTGCAAAGCTTAATTGTTAATTTTACAGGAACTTGAAATAGGATTTTGCCTATTCTAGAAATTGATCCAGAATAATTTTGGAAATACACTGCTTCATACATCATTTTCACACTTCCTTTGTGATATAAAAGGTTGAACTGTATCCAGACTCACAGGCAGTAGATCACATAGCATGACCTTCACCTGGTCTTCATAAATACTCTCTGCTTATCACTCTGTAGCAAAGCAGGACCCACTTGAGTGAGGAGGAGGAGGGCTGGCACTTCTTACATAATTCAGTTTGTTAATCCCTCTCTTGGAGCAGAAATTTTTATTGTTATTTTCTCAGCAAAATCCCATGATACTGTTATTTCTTCATTCTGATTTCATTCTAGAGCTGACTGGAGTTTACAGGAGTTTTGCTTGCTTCAACTGCAGAGAATATGATAATGAATTGCTGTAAGCTGAGGCTTCTTTTGCACAGCAGGATGAAGATTTTTTTGCTGTGTTTTCCCATAGTAGTTCCTCTTGGCTGGAGACTATCCAAAAAAACCCAAGCAAATTGATAGTGATGATGCTATCATACCTTGGTCAGGCTGTAATCCTAACTGGAAATGGTAACTGGGAGGCAAGGTTGAAACAGAAGACATAAAATTGGTGAAAAGTTGACTAGCATCCTCTGTAAATGATTTTCCTTTTGAGCAAGAGACACAAAGTGCCACAGCCTTGCAAGCTGACTGAGCAGAGTGGTGGTTTCTGTCCCACTTTTGTGTTTCCATGCCCATAGTTCTGGGTGTGTGTGTGCATATTCAGCTGTATGCACACAGGCATATATGTACCTGTAGCTACAGCTGGTAGAATGGTCCAGAAAGAGATGCCTGGCCTGCTGCTGTGTATGCTTTCTGTCAGATTAAAGAGCTGAACTCTTTGTGGTCAGTTGGGTTTTTCCATTAAAGCCATAGATCAGTTCTTTACCACAAAAACCTCTGTATTTTAATGTAAAAAAAAAAAAGAGAGAGACTTAGCGGTCAAAGAGGGTTTTTTTATCCTGCAATTTGAATGTGTTTCTTGCTTTTATTGACCAATATGTTGGTGGAAACCTTTGATGGTGCCATTCCAAAACAACTCAGAAATTACAAGACATTTCCATGCTGGGGAACAAACTTTTCTCAAAAGCCATGTGATGTTCAGAGTGGGAGAGCCCTGCTCTGGCCTGAGGCTCAGCTGTCTGTGAGCTGGTGAGAGCAACCCTACTACAGCTGAAAAAAGTGTTCCTCCTTTAAACACATCATCTGCTCACCTGATCTGAGAGGCCTCTAGAACTCCAAGAACTTGTATCATTTTTAAAGCCCAGCAAATAATACTTGAAGCCTGGGAATCTGGATGTTAGGTATGGGAGATTGCAGGGGGAGGAAAATTGCAATTGCTGCTTTATTGGAAATTACCTTGTATAGGAGGGTGGCTGTACAAATACCTGTATTTCTAACAAACTCTGAAGAGTTTCTCATGCTGATTCATTTGCAAGTTAGTTATATGTGTGTGCTGATCAGGAAAGGCCCTGGACCTATTAGTAAATTCTCCTTCTATGTAAGCACAGTGCTTTATGTTTTCTTGGATTTGTAGTGAGGTAATTTTCTGTGTGGGGAGATTTTTTTTGTTTTCTAACACAGTGTATTTTTTATTCCTAATAAGCTGGGATATACACCTGTCAAACAGAAACCACGGATTTTATGGCACACAATGTCTCAAAATACCTAAACAGAAGTGAGGAAGAGTGTTAAAGTTACAGCAAATACAGAAAGCTGCTGTTGGAGCTATCAGCAGTGAATGTGATCCTTCACTATTAGTGGAAGCAGAGAGGTTATTCTTGTTTGAGTCCTGCATTCAGTTTCTGGTGCCTGTACTTGAAGATGTGCAACAAAGAATTAGGAAGGCACTTCTAATATATGGACCCAACTTAAATCTCCTCAGTGTTTCTCAGTAAACAAAGCAGTAACTTGATTACTATGCATAGATGCACACTGATAATGGAAGACAATTCAGATCTGTTTCACTCACTGGCAGAAGAAAGAAAATGCTCAGTGGCTAGACATTGGTCCTGAGACAGCTGCTAAGAATTCAAACAACAGAAGGGCTTGTGCAGGCAGCCACGTCATGATCTGTTCCTGATCACTGAGATGTGCCTTCATCTAGCTTGGATAAATTGTTGGGCTGAGCAGGAGGAGATGGTGAAATGAAGATGCCTGGAGGTGCTGGCAGTATGTGCAGTGCAGCATGAAGACAATAGTTTTTGGTGCTTGGGCTCTGTAATTTGACCTGACTCCCCCACGGATGGTGGAGCCAGCTACCCTCGGAAGTACTTGCCTCTCATTCCTGTGAACATGTGCTCAGGCATGTGTCCAGAAAGTGTCATTTCTGGATTCCTGGCTGATCCCTTGCTCCAGGCAATGTGGAACTGAGTGCAGGGCAGGGAAGGAATGTCCTCTGTCAGATTCTACCTTCCCCTGGAATTTGGAGTATAATCTCCTGCTAAGGTCATGCAAGTGTATTTCAGAAGTGATTCCCGAAGTTGCACTCATCGTGGGTATTCATGGAATCTCTATGCATGGAATCTCAGACTTCCTTTCCTGTTTTTGTTTCCTTGGATATGCCCTCATTTTACCCAAGGACTGATATGCCTTAATATAGCTGAAGTTTCTGTATTTCATAGGGGATATATTTTGACTTAAATCCTATGAAACTGTACAGGAATTGCACAGGTCTGGAAGCAAGTTCAATGGTTCTTTAAAGATATGCATAAACTTTTAAGAATTATTTTATTTAGTAATACAACAACTTTAGTTGAAAACCCCACCAACCTACTGAAAGAATTTATAGGATTTGAAGGAATTTTATTGCATTCCTAAAAATATCTTTTGAGTGATATTCAGTATACATGTATGCATATAGAGAAAGAGAGAGCTCATACAACACAGTATGGAGGCATCTTGCCTTCAGATTAGCTTCATTTCTTCTCTGGTTTGTTGTCTTTCTGTTTGCCTCAAGTGCTTGCAGTGTCCTTGATCAGCATATTTACACACACGTGTTCTTTTAGTTCCTGACAGCATCTTCTCTGAACAATCTGTTCCTTTTGTGGCAGTGCAGGTGTACTCAGGTGTCTGCAAACCAAGACAGCAGGGGGGGAAAACAGAAGGTAGAGGGGGGAACTTGGGAGCCCTGCCAGCTCTCAAAGCAGTTCTGGTTTGAGTAAAGCCCAAGAACTGCTACTTCTCTCTGCTTGACTGTGTCCAGCACTATGGGAGCTGCTCTTGCTTCACACACATGGATGCCTCCAAGGACACAACCTGAGATGCTAAGCAAAAACAAACTTACCCAGAACCTTGCCATTTTCATTTCCAGAGCAGAGAGAGTCACTGAGACAAAAACACTTCTTGAAATCAAAGGAAAACCCAGAGTTGCATGGTTTTCTAGCAAGGCATGTTATGCAGTGTTGCAGTTTCCCTCTCCTCCCCTGTGAATCTTTAAGCCAGGTACTGTTTTGTGCCACCAGGAAACAAGCCTATCTATCTTAGTGACCCCTGATAGTTCCTGAGTTGTTTATACTCCAAGGGACATCTCTGCCAAACAGCAGCTGCTCAGACTCACTCCTGAAGTTACAGATTGCTGCATTTCAGTGAGCAGTCATCCCAGGTTGGGCTTCAGAAGTTGCCCTACTCTGGTGATTGTTAGCTGAGAAATAGGAAGCATTTCTTTGGTGTTCTTATTTGCTTTTAGGAAATGATCTTTATCTCTTGCTTGTGCACCTCCAAGTGATGCTGTCAAAATTAAGGACAGCTTGGTTGTATGTCAATGAAGTTTGCACTTAGCCTCAGCCTCCTGACCCAAGGATCTTAGATAAGGTGAGAGCTGCATTCAGTGAATTTTGAGAGGAAAGTCTTTCTGAGGTTAGAAGAAGCCTGTAACAATGCCTTGAACACTTTCTAGTCACTGGACACCTAACTGTAGTAAAAAGCTGATTTTTCTTTTTACCAGTGACCCAGTAGAGCAGTCAAGGAGATACTGAAACTGTTTAATTTTATAGATGGTAAAAACTTAGGCCATAGCCACTTCCCAGTCTTAAAAATCATCCTTTTTCTTTTCCCTATAGATAAGGAGTCTTATATTGACTTTCCCTCAGATATGATTGTGGAGTTCTCCAGAAGTGTTTTAAAACTTTGATTACTAAAAGCAATTGTTTGGAAGGTTTTTTTTAGGGATATCATTGTTGACTACAAAGCTCCAAGGAGGACAGGATAAAATAAGAGACTTGTGTGGGTTGGCTGATTTAAAATACCTTTGCTCAGCATTTTAAGTATGTGGCTTGCTGGCAATCCATTTTATAGAGCCTGTCCTTGCTTCCCAGAAGCTCTAAATTTAGGAATGCAGTTAATGTGAAATTAAGAGCTGTCCATGCTTAACACACAGCTAACTATGGAGAAAACCCAAGGAGGAGCAGTTGAGCTGGAAGAGACTGGGATAAATATAAACTGAGTGTGATGTGGATGGATGGACTCTGCCAAACATGGTGGGTGAATCTCCAGGGTACAGTTTCATGCTTCACTTGACACCTTCTAGGTGTGTGGCAGTGCTGAAAAGGGACTCTCTTGTGCTTATTCCTGACTCCAGCTCTGCTCTTTGGATCACATCATGACTTTATCCACTTAAAACAGTTCCAATTGGCTTGAGTGGTTTTTTCCTGCTGGTTTGTAGAGTGTCTTGGCCAATGCAGTGAGTACCAGACAGGTGCTGGGGAAGAGAGTGGTGTATCCTGGAGGTACTGGTGAACTGCTGGACTGGCTGCCTGTGCACCTGCAGTGTATTTCTGTGTTTAGCAGGAGTCTGGAGGAAACTCTGAGTTCATGTGCACCTGAACTGTGGCTTTCTGCATGGGCACTGGGGAGGGCAGAGAGCACT